GCACCCCCTTCCCCTTTTTCCTTTTCCTGTCTTTTTTTTTTTAGCTTTTTTAAGGATATATTTTTAACTAGTGTTTGTTTTGCAATTTTGATATTGTATCAAATGTATAGATATATGATGCATGGAGATCACATTTGCAATTTTGATATTATTTCACTTAAGTCTTCTATTTCGGTAATTAATTAATGGTCACCAACTTGCTCTTCCTTTATACCCTCTGGGATATTCTCATATTGATCATCCCCAAGAAAATAGAAAAATGATATTTGAACCTAAAAATCTGACATAATTTGTTAATTTAATAACGTGGCTTCATTGGAACTATTAGATAAACACCAAGTTCTAATATTTGATGGAGCCCACAATTAATCCAAAAGTCATATTAAATTAAATCAGCAAATTATGTCAGTAAATTAGGTCTCAATAGCATTGTTCAAGACAATATAGTGTGGATCTCCGGTATCTCCATTACGCATTGCATGGGAAATGTAAGTTCATAAATTATACTTGTTGCCATTGTCTAGTAGGGATGAAGAACACGACTTTATCATTTTATACATGCATTATCTTTTATAAATGCATCAGAGAAGAGAGAGAGTCCATGGCTGAAGCTGATAAGCTACACGTAGTTTTGTTCCCATGGCTAGCCTTTCGTCACATTATCCCATTCTTAGAGCTTTCCAAGCCCATAGCTGGAAAGGGTCACAAAGTCTCCTTCATATCAACCCCTAGAAACATTGATCGATTGCCAAAATTTCCTCCAAACTCAGCTCCTCTACTGAGTTTAGTGAAGCTCCCTTTACCCCGAGTCGACAACCTCCCTGAACACGCAGAGGCCACCATTGACGTGCCCTACGACAAGGTCCAATATTTGAAAAAAGCCTTCGATGGTCTCCAAACTGAGTTGACTCAGTTCCTCAAGATCTCAAACCTCGATTGGATCATCTATGACTTTCCCCCTCACTGGTTGCCCCAAATTGCAAGTCAACTTGGGATTTCACTTGCCTTCTTTAGTACAGTCAATGCATGGTCCGGGGCTTTCTTTGGATCGGCGATCACCATGGCGAACTCCGCTGATTATCGTACGAAGCTGGAGGACTTTACCGTAGCACCGAAATGGGTTCCATTTCCATCTTGTATCGCTTTTTGGCTCCATGAGATAAAGAGATTGTACAACCGTGTTGATGATAATATTTTTGGCATTTCAGACGCGTTGCGTTTTGGGAAGACTGTAATGGGATGCGACGTGTTTCTCATAAGGAGCTATACAGAGCTTGAACCTAGCTGGTTGCACCTCTTGCAAGAGCTCCAACAAAAGCCAGTTGTTGCAGTAGGTTTATTGCCACCCTCATTCCAAGGCGACAAGGGTGGCAAGGATGATACTTGGCACACAATCAATGTATGGCTGGACATACAAGAGAAAGAGTCTGTTGTATACATAGCACTCGGNGTACAGAGCTTGAACCTAACTGGTTGCACCTCTTGCAAGAGCTCCAACAAAAGCCAGTTGTTGCAGTAGGTTTATTGCCACCCTCGTTCCAAGGCGACAAGGGTGGCAAGGATGATACTTGGCACACAATCAATGTATGGCTGGACATACAAGAGAAAGAGTCTGTTGTATACATAGCACTCGGGAGCGAGGTGACACCGAGTCAAGCTGAACTCACAGAGTTGGCTCTAGTGTTAGAGCTTTGTGGTCTGCCCTTCTTTTGGGCTCTAAGGAAGCAGCATGACTCGGCCAACTCATTTGAGTTACCAGATGGGTTCCTAGAGCGAACCGAAGGTCGTGGAGTTGTATGGACTAGTTNAAGCTTTGTGGTCTGCCCTTCTTTTGGGCTCTAAGGAAGTAACATGACTCGGCCAACTCATTTAAGTTACCAGATGGGTTCCTAGAGCGAACCGAAGGTCGTGGAGTTGTATGGACTAGTTGGGTGCCTCAACTCAGGATACTAGCACATGACTCGGTGGGTGGTTTCGTGACTCGTTGCGATTGGAGTTCAGTCATTGAAGGACTCCAATTTGGGCGGCCATTGATTATGCTGCCTTACTTGGGAGACCAAGGGTTGATTGCTAGGGTTTTGGAGGAGAAGAGAGTGGGAATAGGGATACCAAGTGATGGCGTTAACGCACTTTTACAAAAGATGAGCTGGGATTACGTTAGGTTGNAAGTGGGAATAGGGATACCAAGTGATGGCGTTAACGCACTTTTACAAAAGATGAGCTGTGATTACGTTAGGTTGCTAAGATGATGCAATAATATCTAGGGCTTTGGATGTTAAGACAACAAAATTATAGTGGTTCACCAGCTTGAGAGTTCGGCTAGTCCACTCTGGAATAGAGGCTCTTGCTCCTTTTGTTTTATTCACGGTGATTACAAGGTTGCTGTGGCTTCTTTTTGCCACTAGGGTTCCCCCCCTATTAGGGGGTGTTACCTTGCATTTATAAGGCCCTTCCCTGCTAAGAAGGATCTTAGCTGAGATTATTGCCCTTATTTCCTGGGTTTCTCCTTAATTCTAGGAGAAGATCTTGGTTGGTTGAGATAGGGTGCCTTAATTACAGTTTCCTAACGCTTTAGATCCTCTCATGGTTATCCAGTTATTATCTTGCCTTAAGAGACACTCGGCCCTTAGCCTCTGACCTCTGCTAATGTGTCTGACCTCCTGGTCCGAGCTGACCTCCTGAGCTTAGCACTTGGAATTTATTTTAGATATCATCAGTTGCCTCCCAGCCCTTGGTTCAAGCGAGCTTGGGCATGGGCTGAGCTGCTTTCTCATTGGACCAGGCCTGCACCTAGCTGACCTTAGTTCGCATGTGAGATGCACGTGGGGGGCTCTTTGACGGCTTACAACAATCATGACTTCCTCGATTTTTGTGCATGTTTCAGCCCACGTCACTCAAGCATTAAATCCTCAAACGGCTACCCAAAAATCGCTCAAAATTCTCTGTTCATCTTCTACGATGTTCACCTTTGCCTCTGCCCCTTTTCCTCTACAATTTCTGGGCTTTCCTACACACGATTCACTCATTCTCTGCTCAAGACTTCATTTTTTGGGTACCCCTCGAAGTCTTGCTTTGCTTCTTCTCTCCAATTTCATCCTCGGTTGCTATTCGCTGATCTCTTCCCTGTCTAGGTACGCCCTTTCTGCCCCCTTCTCTTTCTCTTACCTTTCCCTACTCTGGAGCCCTTGAATTCGAGGTGGCCGTTTTGTTTCTGGGTTTTTCGGTTCTTTTACTTTTGAAACCGAGATTGTTGTTTATCTCCTATTCCCCGCTTTGTGGATAGGAACTCCACTGTGCGAATTCTTACCATTAGGGGGTACAGTGCTGATCCTAGGATTATTAGGGGGTGTTTGATTAGTATTCCTCCTCTTCATCATTCTTTCAATCTGTCTTTCTCTCTACCAATCATGTCTGCCTTCTCTGGAGCAACTCCTTCCTCTATTTCCCTATTAGGTGATAGGTCTGCCGAAAGAGATTTTGATTTAGGGGATGTAGGTGACGAGATTGACAACTTTCCTGGTGTAGATTCTGCCGAGGTAGAGGTGAAAATTGAGGAGGCCCCCTCCACCTCTTCTCCCATTCCTGATACACCTGATAAGGGCAAAGGCAAAGTAAGTGGTGTGGGAGTTATTGTTTCAGGCGCAGGGGCTACCTTTAGGAACGCTAAACTTGTAGGTCCCAACGGACTTACCCTTTCTGACCTGAAGGTTCTCAGTGCTCACTTTCGTTTCCCCCCAGGGGTTCAGCTCTGGAGTCCTGATACGTACACCACATATGTTCACCATGTCCACAAGAAGGTCTGTTTCTTCCTGACAGCTTTTGATAACGGACTTCGCTTCCCTATTCATCCCTTTATCAAAGGTGTCTTTCAACACTTCAATGTATGCCCTGCTCAGCTCTCCCCAAACTTCTGGGGTGTTCTTGTGGGTTTACTAGTCTTCTTTAAGGACCATAAGCTTGGGGTCCCTAATGTTTCCATACTTATGGAGCTGTTCAATGTCAAGCATACCTCCTATGACAATTTTTTTTTTATATTTCCAAGAGAACTAAGGCCAAACAGGTCATCTTTGACCACCCAAGCTCCCATAAGGGCTGGAAAAAATAATTTTTCTTTGTAGAGGGTACACAGTGGGAGTTCAACTCAGAGGATAAAATTGATACCCTCCCCATCCCTACAGAGTGGTCTGCCCCCGATAATTTAGGTATGTTTCTGCCCAGACCGTATTTAATCCAAGCCTGGCTATTTTGTTAACTTATTTCTTGTTTTCCTTGGTTTTCTAGGTATCCGACCTGAGCTCAGCGCTGAAGATGAGTGAGTATTGCAGAAATTGAAAAAGTGAAAACCAGAGAAATACTCTAAGCTCATCCAACCTTGGACTCTCGTAGAACGCGGGTTCTGCTTGCCTGAGGTGAGGGTTGAAGCTCCCCTTCCACTTTTCGTTGCTGGCCCCACCTCGCTTTCTGCCGAAGATATATTAGGTAACACTTTCCTCCTGCCTTTGATTCCTCTATCTTCTTTTCTCCGCTAAAGAACGAGGCTTAGCTATTTTTAGGTCTCCCAGGTTCATCCTCAATGGAGTCCACTACTGCTGAACTCAAGGCCAAGCTTTCTCTAATGAAGAAGATCAAGAGTAGCGGCAAGAGCAGTGGTAAGCGCAAGTCAGAAATTAGCTCTGGCGATGGCTCCATACGTCCTGCCAAGGTGCCCAGGATTGGCATGTCACATACTTCCTCTACCCCAGCTGTCCCAGATCTCCCCTCTCAAGGTGTTTCACTTTCTACTCCAAGCGTTNAGAACCTAGCTCTGGCGATGGCTCCATACCTCCTACTAAGGTGCCCAGGACTGGCATGTCACATACTTCCTCTGCCCCAGTTATCCCAGATCTCCCCTCTCAAGGTGTTTCACTTTCTGCTCCAAGCGCCGCTGCTTTAGGACAGGTATCTCCTTCAGTCTCTGAGGTTAAGAGAGCTCTGGAGGAGACCACCCAAATCCTGACCTCTCTCGATCCCCCCTCTGCATCATTTTCTCGACCCCTTCCTAAAAGCTCCAAGGCTTTGAAGAAGGAGCATCTCAAGGTAGAAAAGAGTGAAGGATCTTTTCTCGATAGCCCTGACCTCGCTGCTGAAGCCCTTTTTTCTATTCTTCCCAACTCAGATGTAAAAAGGGCTCTCTTAATGTCCTTTGAGGATTCAATAAGCTCCATTTTTTTTTACCCGAACTTCACTAACTTTTATCTGTTTCCCTCTTGTCCCCAGTCTGCTATTTATGCAAAGAGCTTGATGAACAGGGTCCTTTTCACAAAAAATTTTGTCAAAATGGTGAAAGCTTAAGAAATTAAGGTATCCAAGCTATCTTTTGAGAATGATGACCTGCAAGCTCAATTGCAAGAACTTCAAGACAAAATGGAGAAACAGACTTCCACCATTGAGGGCTTAATAGCTGCGAAGGCCAAGGCTGAGGAGGGGGAGAAAAAGGCTAGGGATACCTAGGCCAAGGCTAACAAGGAGGCTTCTGCTGCTCAGAGCTCCTTTGCAAGCTTAACCCAAGATTTTTTTCTCTATCTAAGGCAAGCGGAGCCCTTTGCAGCGAGCTTGAAGGGTTTAAGGCTGATGTATCTGCAAGGGACAAAGACATTGCCAAGCTGTGAGATGATGTCACCACAAAATGGGCTTTTGGGTGGTTGGCCTTTCAGGAAAGAGCTGAGGAGACCTACCTTGACCTCGATTTCAACTTTGATATCCCTGATGATGAGGGCCTAGAGATGGTTGAAGCAGAAGGTGAGGGTGCCCCCTGAAGGTACAGAGGCGGTTACAGCAGGAAGAGAAAGTGCCCCCCCGGCTCTTCAGAGGACCCTGTTGCCGAGCTCCCTCCTTTTGCTGACCTTGCTGCTGAAGCTTCAGCTCTTCCAACTACTACAGAGGCCCCACATTTAGAAGCTCCCATTTTTGGATCTTGCCCAAACTCTGTTAATTTGCCCATCTCTTCTACTGAGCTTCCCGCTCCTGAACCTGCTTCTGTCCCAGCTCCAGCAACTAACCAACAGAGTTCTAGCCTTACTCCCCCATCAGAAATTTAGGATGTAGAGAAATTTTTTTTTTTTTGTAACTTCAAATCTATTAACTTATGGTTGTACCTCCTTTGATTTGGAATGTAACTTCACAAGTTTGCTTTTTAACAACTTTTCTTAGATATAACATTCCTCAACTCTTCAAACACTCCTCAACTCTCCCCCCTTGCTTCAAAAGGTCATTTAGACCTCTTTGAGGCAAAAAGGGATAGGAATAGCTGCTGACGTGCCTAGCTGAGCCTCCATCTTCTCAACCTAGCTGAGCTTCTAGCTTCTCAACCTGCGTCTGCCCAAACTCTTTGGAGGCCTGCTTGTTTTATCCCGGGGTGTCATTGATGTCTGCTTTCGATGCATAACCTTCTTACCAAAAAGATTCATGCTCCCTTAATTTGGAAACCAAGAGACTCACCGACTTAAGGTTTCGTGTAATTAACAACTTCCTAAAAATCTGGGGTCTTCAAAAGATTCCTATAAGTACTGGCTATCACTTTCCTCCGGGTATCCCTTTGTTATTCTTGAGGGTTTAACGTCTTCTATTTCCTTTTCTTCTCTTTCTTGCTTGAATCCACTATGTATGTTCCCTTTTCTGCTTTGTTTCAAGAGCGAACCTCCTTTGGGGTTGAGTGGATGTGGCATACTTGCTACTTTGTTCCCTTAGTGGTTACGTCCTCTAATTTAGGGAGGATAAGGAAGAAATTCTTTCTTGATTTAGAGTTACCTCTACGTGCTTCAAGCTTCGACAAACCTTGTAATTACCTTCCTCCTGCCGAGACATGCTTCTTTGAAGCAGCTTTGGAGTTAGGTCNTTGCTTCAAGCTTCGACGAACCTTGTAATTACCTTCCTCCTGGCAAGACATGCTTCTTTGAAGCAGCTTTGGAGTTAGGTCTGCGCCTTCCCATTTATCCCTCTATTGGGTTTATTTTAGCCTATTGTAACTTGTGTCCCTCTCGTCTTTCACCCATGGGATGGGCTGTCATGACCAGTTTCTTCCTCTTCTGGCGTCTATGAGGTAATGACGAGTTTTCTACGGTTACAAAATTTCTTTACTATTTTAACCTTGAGGAGGATGAAGTTCCATGCTTCATCTGCTTTCGGTGGAGAGACTTCAGGCTACATCGCTTAGTGTTTGATCTCCCCTCTCCTCCTTCGGGATGGGCCCAACGCTTCTTCTTTGCTTCTA